GTGAATTTGGTCTTAAATTTTTATTTCAAGTGGCATTAAAAAGTCTTGAATTTAATTTGCCTTATGCTGTAGGAACCCTGTTTAAGCTTGATTATTCTTTTGTGCTAAAATGATGTGGCACATCGTGCTAAGCATTAGGGAGATGATTGAGTGTTTGAAATGTATGCAGCATTTAATTTTAAAAAGAGAATCAACATCTAAGGCAGAGCGTTATGACTTTATCTTTACAAATAGGAAACTGGGCTGAAAAGGAAGCAAACAGAGATGAAAGGAGAAGTTTTAGTGGAAATATGAAGTATCTGGTTCCTCACAAGTAGCCATGGTGTGATATTTGCATATAACCAGATATGATCTGTGTATTCCATGGACCTCACAGGTCTCTTTTAATCCCTCCCTGTTGTTGCACCGCAGCAATATTTACATGTCTGGACTGGTGAATAGGAGCAAATATTGATTATTTGTTCTTCCAGCCTGTTTGAATGTCATGAATGCCGATTGTCTGAATCGCCAAATTGGATATTTGAGCCTCTTTGTTTGTCTAGCTTAGTTCCCTCAATAATGAAGTGGAATGCCTGTTTGAAAACATATGGTATGCAGTCCAGGAGCAACAAAGACACCTGGCTGCTAGACAGGCTGCTTGGTTTCTGCTGAACCTTGACAGATCTGCATGCAGCCAAGAACCTGTTTGAGCCACACCCAGCGCTGAATACCTCAGGCTCTTTCACTCCTGAGATGCATTTGAATTCAATTTCTCTCGGTTGCCTGGGTGTTTGTTTGCACATGCATACAGCGGGTGAAGGTCACGCAGAAAATGAAGATCAGGTTTTAAGACAAGAAGGATTATGTTTCAATGCAGAGTTGTTAAAACCACATGGCTTTGTTTCTTTTGTCGTTTTCATTTTGAGCAGGTTGCAGATGCAGTCATGCCAACACGTTTACTGGGTCATTTGCTGAATGTTTGGAATGACTCTCCCAACAGAGTCTGATGGGATCGAGCCTAACAAGTAGAAAAGTAGTGAAGTTATATGACTCAGACTAATCCTGGGTCTTTCTTATTGAAGACTAGGATCATGCATAGTCATATCTTTCAACTTTCTATCATTGTCTGACTTTACTAACATAAAAGTCAATGTTTTATTACAGCTTTGGCCAAAACAAAGTTATGCATTAGGGATGCACGATATAATCGGCCCCCTATCGGTATCGGCCTTAAAACTGAATATCGGACATCGGCC